AAAATTGAAGGCCATCACAAAGATGCAAGCAGTGTATCGGGGGCAAGTGACCCGCAAACTGCTTGCAAAGGAGAAGCAGGAGTGTTCTGAGACAGCTTGTATGCAGGAAGAGGAAGCGCGAGCAGATCACAGCTAAATGCGGTGACAAAAATGCAAGCAGTCTATCCCGGGCAAGCATCATACAATCCAGCAGGAAAGGAGAAGCTGGCAAAGGAAAACGCTGCTACCAAGATCCAGATTTCAGGAGTCGCAATCATTGCGTTCAGCAAGTAGAAGCAGGATGGACAGCAACATTTCAGACGACGATAAGACCGCTCTCAGTTTACCGAGGCAAGCTGCAAATGAGCAAAGGAGAAGCGCTTGTATGGCCAGCAGATGGCAGAAGCTCTGGAGGACTTGGTGCGCAGGGGGTTGCAAGGCTTGAGCATTTTGAGCTGTTCAATCAGAGGGGTGCACGACTCTGGATGTTGAGACAGGTTGTGCCTGATCCACCCCCACTAAAGTTGCAGCAGCCCAGGAGGCAACTATGGAGGCAAACAAACCATTTTCAAACGCCCAGTCAAACTTTGGAGCATTTTGGATTAGAAGGTGTTTGCGATTTCCTGGAGATGACATGCTTTACTTGTGATTTGTACAGAAAAAGGTAGTTTCTTGGGCGGTGCAAGGAGTCGATGCCGACAATTGCTTCGAGATCCGATTGAGAGCAGGTTGTTGCCTCAAGAATCAAGAAGCCTCTTCCCGCACTCTTTTTGTCCACGCAAAGAAGCCTGTTGGTTCCTGCATGTTCCGTTTTTTCTGATAGGTGACAGACCACAGTCAAAGCTCTTTGGACAAGTTCAATTTGGCTTTCCGATGCTGTTCTTTTGAGTTATTCTTTAGATTGTGCATATTCAGCTTGAGCTGTGCCTTGGTGTTCCGATGGAGAATATACATATTCTGCTTTGTGAGGCCGACAGAGGTGAAGCTGCATCGCTCTAGGCAGCTGAAAACAAGTTTGGCAAACCACGTGGGCTTTATGCTTTCAGCTCTTTGTGTTTTGCTGTCGAAGGGGGACGGAGCTGAAGTGACTGCAAATTCATCAGTGCTCAGTCGTTTATCCTGTTCTTCTGCGTTGTCGGACCCTTTGTCCGAAACATGTTTTCATGAGTTTGGCCATACAAAGGTGCTTCTCAGCCAGTGCAATGGAGATCTTTGTTCCAACCCGGTCTGTACAGATGTTCTCAAAGCCATCCGAACTCTTCAAACATTTAAACCTGCCCAGTTCTGATCCTGCAATTGGCACGCATCCAGGAAATGTGCTGCGCCACAGCAAACTTCATAGTTTTGGACCAGGAAACCAAAAGCCATGGCCAAAGCGCTCTCAAAATCTGCGCCTGATTTGCTGCAAGTTGCAACGAAGGAAGTAAGTAAACCACACCGAGGGCCGGCATGATGTGGAACGACCAGGCAGTCCACGAGGTGCAAGAGATGAAGTCTTGGTGGAATCTGTCAATGGCAAATACAAGCTAATAGCGGAGTACTACGAGTAACAAGAAGCTACTAGTAGCAAAGAGCATCGCTACTAGTAGCAAGGGCATCGCTATTAGTAGCTAATTTGCTACTAGCAAAAGGAAGCCAGAAGAAAAAGGGCATCGCTACTAGTAGCAAGGACGCAACGAGCTCCTGGCATCGCTACTAGTAACAAGAAGCTAATAGATTGGAGGCCATCGCTGTTAGGTTGGAATCTGTCGGCCCGCAAAGGGTCGTCCGCAAGCACCGGCGAAACAGAAAGGCCCCGATGTGTTGCGCTCCTCCAACTAGGAGTCTGCACTGGGGCAAAGTTAACACCCTGCATGGTGCATTCAGAGCCCTGTGCAGACATGCATGCCCTTTGCTCCTGCTCCTAGTCGCTTCTTGCTCCTAGTAGTAAGGCCCTTGTTCCTAGTAGCGACGCCAGGAGCCCCTAGTAGCGTCCTTGCTCCTAGGAGTTTGCCTTGTGGGCTGATTCAAGTCCAAAGTCCGTTCACTCACAGCTTCCCTCTAAAGTCCAATGCGCGTTATGCAGGTCCGTGCACTTCGCCCCTTGCCGGGTTCCGGCTCAACTCGTTGGTTCGTTTTGCGTTTTGCGTTTTGCGCGGGTGTTCCATTTTGCCGTCCGTAACAGTGTCCGTCGAACCGTGCACAGATTGGTTTCAGTATGTTTGAAGCATCCAAGAAACGAACTGCACGCTGCATACTTGCCGTTCTGGTTCGCTTGCCCAAGTGTTCGTTCACCCCCACTGGCCTCAAGTGACGATTGCATCCGATGATGGCGCTGTGCCCCCCAAGTTTTGTTTGTTGGTTGATGACTGTGTTTGATGTCATTGTTGAAGTTAGACATGTGCAGCTTGAGACCTACATTTACAGAGAGTGCAGACTAAGTCATTGAAGGTGTAGACTAGACCCCTTCTACGTAATTGAAGTGTCAAGACTTGCAAAGAGTCCTAAAAGGTTCCGTGATAACTTTTGGAAGAGGCCATCGCTAGAAACAAAGAGAAAAGAAAGGAAGTAAAGGCTCAAGTACGCTAGGGGCTCCTGGCATCGCTACGAACGGAGCAAGAAGCTAAAGAAAAAGGGAGACCCATCCGACCCATCCGACCGCGGGCTGAGAGGCGAGCTCCCGGGAGACCCGAAGCTGGGCCGCTCGAGCCACGCTGCGTGAAAAAGCGCGAGCCACGCTGTCTCTCGAGCCACGCTGTCGTTTTCGTCTTTTGTTTTTCTTCTCTCTTTGACTCGGTTTTGGGCTCGAGGTCGAGCATTTCCGAGAGACCGAGTTTGGTTTCGCGTGTCTCATTTTGGAAGTGAGCAGAACTCGGAAACGTTTTCCCTCAACGTTAGGGGACGATTCAATTTGGCATATGAGGTGCAAATCGAGCTCCCAAGATTGAATTCAATTTGTGGACGCTTTTTTTCGGGTTGAACATTTGACAGAATTTCCGTTGCGGCGTAGGGTTTGTGGAGTCTTGGAGTGAATCACACCGTCCGGATGGGAGTCACATACGACCACTTACTGCTGCTTGGATTCAGGAAACGCTGTAGGAAGTCACTCAAAGGAATGGAGAATGAGGATACCACGGAGCTATTGTGTCAACCAGTTACCCAAAAGACCCTCCCAACCCAACGCGCAAACACACACACAAACAGAGAAGGATACTACAGTACAGCTCGACGAGCTAGAATATAGGAGCGCAAAAATGATCCGCTCACAATACAAGCAACTGCGGACTCCATGACTGCATCACCAGTGCTTCTTGAGCTTAGTCATCTTCGGCAAAAAAAGGCCAACTAAAACAGCAAACACTACTAGTGGCGATGCCCTCCAACCTGATAGCGATGGCCTCCACCCTACCATATCGCCAGTAGCGATGCAGCAAACACTCGTATTAAGTCCATATTTGACACTGCCCCGATGTCGCTTGGCAGCTGGAAGCAGTTGAGACCGGGACAAAGGCACGAGTGGGACTAGTGGGATGTGGGACTTGATATCGAGGGCAGGGGCGTGCAATGGATGCCAGATGGTTGTCAAGTCCCAGTTCCTTTCCTTCAAGAGCTTGCTTCCTTGTTACTAGTAGCCAACCTAGTAGCATTTGGAGAATTTTGAACACCTGCTTAGTGTTGGTAAGTCTGCAGGCGGTGTTAGTTGTTACACACTTTTTGAAGAGGTTGAGATTCCGCGCCGTGTCAACCGCAAGGTACACACTGCCTGACCTCAAACCTATGAAGCTGCCGCCAATTGAAACTCAACGTTATGGCCAGTTATGGCCACGCTAGTAGTAACAAGAAGCTACTAGGAGCAAGTGCCACGCTAGTAGTAACAGGTGCCTTACTAGTAGTAACAAGAAGCTAGTAGTAACAAGTGCCTTACTACGTTATGGCCTTCAGAAATTCAACGACTTCGCCAGACGCTGCTTCTCGTCGATCTGAAAACAAGACCTCGTTGTTCGACCAGGAGAGTTGCCAGGCAACCTCTGCAACCAACCTGACCGGTGAGGCACTTCTGGCCAGCAGTGTTCAACACTGGCATCCTTGAAGATGCTCTTCTTGACTGCAGTGTCATTGCTGGCCGATGGAGCTTCCAAATTCCTCTGCCAACTTAGCCAATCTGATGTTCCATGCGTCATGCGTGGCCCTTGTCTCAACTCATAGCGATTTGAGGCCGCACCTGACCCAAAGCCAATCACCTGAACTTGCTACAGGGCCGCTATGGAGCCATTTGAGCCTGACTGATACGTATATCAACCCAAAGGGTCACAGCTTGGTCTCAGCAATAAAGGGAAATGGGTCTTAGCTTGGTCTCACCAGAACCTAGATTTCTACACTTAAAATTCTTCGCACGCAAGAAATCAAATTCATTATGAAGATGGCCCTAGCATCTCCTTCCCCAATGCAACCACTTCCCCCTCGCCCAAATCGTGCATCTATGTCAAGTTGGAATCCTCAAATTGCCAAACAAGTGACCTGGGACCTAGATCATCCTAGATCTGTTTCCCACACCTTGATCTGCCAGTGGAGTCGCCCCCGTCGTGACGTGTCACGGTCCGTCGTTGCATCTGAAACGGGGCGCGTGTGGCAGCCCTGGAAGGCTGAACTCATGGCGTATGTCACCTGAAACAATGTTCGCTACTAGGAACAAGTGCCACGCTACTAGTAACAAGTGCCTTACTAGTAGTAACAAGAAGCTATTAGAAATCATATGTAGATTGCAAAATGACGAACTCCATAACGCAAAAAGATGCCTCCAGAACCTATATGCTGCTTTGCTGAAGCAATCATGGCCTCCAACCTACTAGCAATGACCTCCAACCTGAGAGCGATGGCCTCCAACCTAATGGCGATAGCCTGGCGATAGCCTCAAACCAGCGGTGGCCTCCAACCTAATAGCGATGGCCTCCAACCTACTAGCAATGACCTCCAACCTAATAGCGATGACCTCCAACCTAATAGCGATGGCCTCCAACCCAACAGCGATGGCCTCATGCCCACATGATGCCCTTAGCTGTGAGCCGTAATGTTTGTGGACTTGACTGTTGGAGTCACTTGCTCCAGGACGCCCCCGGTGTCTCGGTGCCTTCCGCGGGCGTGGAGGGCTCCATCTTCTGTGGCTTTGTGTTGCTTGGTTGAAGGCGAAATTCTTTTTGTTACTAGTAGTAAGGCACTTGTTACTACTAGCTTCTTGTTACTACTAGTAAGGCACCCGTTACTACTAGTAAGGCACCTGTTACTACTAGCGTGGCACTTGTTACTACTACACTCAAACCTATCCCCATTCTTTGACACAGGGTGGACATAACGAGAGAAGCAGAGGGCCTTTACGTGAAGTTAGCTGAGAGGGTGAGTTTTGGCTGGAGTGGCGGAGTCGTGCTTTGTTTTAAGTTTTGCTCGCCAAACTTAGAGAACTTAGTAGTAACAAGTGCCACGCTAGTAGTAACAGGTGCCTTACTAGTAGTAACAAGAAGCTAGTAGTAACAAGTGCCTTACTAGTAGTAAGTCGTGTGGACACATCGATGACTACATCGTCACCAAAATCTTGAGACTTAATGTGACACATCATGATTGGTGATCAGTGATGACTCTGAAACCAGGTCGAGGTTTCGGCCTTGTGGACCTTAGAGAGACATTCCGTGGATCATAAAGTGTGCGTGTTTGAACCTTGTGCACAAAAAGGACGATCAGAAAAGGCTTGCTGAAGATCCGAATGATTGAGTCAAGCTTTTGTTTTTGACTTGCAGGAAGTCGGCCTCATGACTGTAGCTACTTTCTTTCTGACGGTTCTGTTGTAGCAGGAACTCGAGAACCGCATGGTGTGCTGGGTGCTTTGGCAGAACTTGTGGGTGTTGAAAGCGCGCATGACAGAACCCTTTATTGCGGCACGTATTGACCGTATTGAATTGATTATTTATTACGTACTTTTGTTATGCACTTCAGTGAAGTGCATAACAAAAGTACGTATATAATAAATAATCAATTCAATAACATGTTGAATTTGTAGCACATTGCATATGGATGCATATGGTGCCGGGTGACTAGTCACATCCAAATGGCAGAGATCCGGCTATCGAACAACAATCACAATAGTTGAGCTGTTTTCACGTTAACTTGGCAACTAGAGACAGAGAAATGCCATAGGTGTCAATTGCAGTGGGGATCGTATATATATATATATATGTACGATTTTGTCAAGGCCTTTTCAATCTTCAGAAAGAGGATGGTGACTGGTTTCCCACCTGCGTGCTGCTGCCCCAATGCATCATCTACACGATCATGGTTCCAACAATATCTATATGCGCGATCAACTTGCGTTTCTTTTCAATCTCCCACATTCTCCATGATTGATGGGATTTGTGTCTTCCTATGTTTTCAAGTTCTATTTCTAAAAGAAAGAAGGGAAGGATTGACCAAATGGTCTGAATAAAAGCAACCAAACGTGCAAAGGGCCTTGGGAATCTGAGTCCTTGAATCGCCCCTGCGCGCTTTTGCGATCCACGGACGGAACTCTGAGGTTGCTTGGTGGAGCTTACCGCTGTTGGCTGTGGCCCAGAACCAGCTCAATGCCACCACCGTTTGTACATATCCTAGGCTCCCTCCTCGTTGCAAGTGTGTAGTGCAATCAATGTTGGCCAAAGACTGTGGAGCCTTCATTTTGCATTCTTTTTTCAACTTTAAATACAGTATCCTTTCATGTGAGTCATCAGTCATGTTCAACCACTGGTTCCACCGCAGTTGTCAGGTCTTGCTCGACATTTCTATCAGACGACCTTCCATGCCTGACTTTAGACTTTGCACGAGTTGGGAGCTCACACTGGAGCTACCCCAACCTGGCCGGTTCGGTATGTGACGAAACGACGTGCACCGATCCTATGTCAGAAGTTCCTAATCTTCCGTTCCTACTACGAGCGATCGGACGCTACTAGGGGCTCCTAGCATCGCTACTAGGAACAAGGACGCTACTAGGGGCTCCTGGCAGTACTGCTAGGAGCAAATAGCTACTAGTAACAAGAAGCTACTAGTAACAGGTGCCACGCTAGTAGTAACAGGTGCCTTACTAGTAGTAACAAGAAGCTACTAGTAACAAAGGGCTCTTCCGTTCCTTTCATCTCATTTCGCTCCATGTGAAAACGGATCCCTGAGTACAATGCCCAAGGTCTTCGACTACGCCCTACGAGAGGCACAAAAGCATCCGTTCCATCAAGGTCTTGTTACTAGTAGTAAGAATGCTCCTAGTAGTGATGCCAGGAGCCCCTAGTAGCTCCTTGTTCCGTTCAATGTTCAATGGCTTTTCCATTCTCTTGCCATTTTCTTTTGCTCCTGTGTATTTTGTCTTCCTTGGCTCCCATTTTTGTGCGGGATCTATTTCCAAAGGTGCTTTGCAAATCAGTAAGACTTTCTGAGACAACACTTTAGCTCTTGTAGGCTTGAGGCCATCGCTAGTAGCTTGGAGGCCATTGCTACTAGTTTTCCTAAAAAGCTAGGAACCAATTGATTAGTGCATGAGCTATCCTGCGTCCAGTAGGTAATAGCGAACTTGTAGCCAGTAGCTGGAGCTGGTAGCTACTTACTTAATCCTCCATTCCTCACCTAATCCTCTTCCTCTTTGTTCGCGGCCTCCCCCCCCACCGCAGTAACAAGACTTCGCTTCTAGTAACAAAGGGCATCGCTACTAGGAGCAAGGACGCTACTAGGGGCTCCTGGCCTCGCTACTAGTAGCTTCTTGCTCCTAGTAGCGATGCCCTTTGTTACTAGAAGCGATGCAACAACTATTTTTAGCCTTCTTTTGTGCAGGACGTTTGTGCGCTGGTAACACCTGCCCATGGCAACGATGTCTCGTGCGCCTGGGGCAGCGGCCTTGCAGGGCCTAGGGCCTATGGCAACGAGAAAAAATCGATGAAAGGACGAGGTGAAATAAGGCACTTGTTACTAGTAGCGACGCACTTGTTACTAGTAGCGTCCTTGCTCCTGGTAGTAAGGCCAGGAGCCCCTAGTAGCGTTCTTGTTACTACTAGTAAGGCACTTGTTACTACTAGCTTCTTGTTACTACTAGTAAGGCACCTGTTACTACTAGCGATGCACCTGTTTGTCGTGCACGTGCTTTGCATGGACCCTTTCGGAGGCCTTTTCGACGACATGAAATGCTTTCGAGCGTTGGCAAGGAAGACCAACCGTTGGATGAACTTTGATTGTTGTAAGGATGCTGCCTACAAAAGTTGGCAGGTTTCAATTCCTGCAAGGTACATGCTCTCTTCTGGAGTAGCCAACTCCAGATGTATTGCAGACTGGACTGCTTTTGCGCAAAGATGATTCCGTGTCCAAATATTCCTATTTTCCTTGTAGGTGGAACAGCAGCCAGATATTCACAGAGACATACGTAGTCTTTTTTCCTCCCCTTTGAGCTTTCTCTGTGTTGTTTTCCAGCGCAATGTTTCTCCAGTCCTTCTCCTTGCTTGTTTCTTTCTGTGCAAGGAGAGGAGATGGACGTTGCGTGAGCTGCCAAGCAAAAAGGGATTGTCGATTTAAGACCAAAAAGGGATTGACGAGTTGGTTGTCAATTGCTCAATTTCTCCATCTCAGATCCAAGACGTTCTGAGGATTTGTCCAACAACCACAACTTAGACAATTGCCAATATGATGGAGGACCGGGCGGCCTTTTGATTTTGAGTTCTCACACCAGTCAAAAACACATGTCCATTCGTCAAAGGAATGAAAAGGCAATTTTCGGGGCTTTGACAAACAAAGACCTTTCTCCTCTTGGTCCTCTTAGATAAGGAGATTGCTGCCTCTCGACTTGTCAAACAAGCGACTTGGATCGAATTGGAAGATCAATGGCCAAGTTGTTGGCGCAGAGATTTGAAGGTTTGCTGTTACATTCACACTTTTGTGACCTCGTCCTTTCCAAAAATAGGTCAGATCATGTTGAACAGTCGAACTTCTCTGCCTTTCACAGCATGGCCGTCTTAGATACAAGAACAAGTTTATTTCCTTTCAGAATTGCCCAGACTGTGCCAACGAGCCGGACTCCTACCAGCGGAACAGTAACACCTGTGAGTACTTCTGTGGAGAGGAGGCGCCTTTGACTCGACCGAAAGGGAATGTAGTGTTCATTTCGTAAGACTGTGGCAGCATGCAGCTTGGGTCTGAGAAAAGATAGTGTGGCTCCGCGACACAAACATGTCTTTTCTGCGAAACTGGAAGTGATCCGGATGCAAGTGGAGTTTTTCCTGCGGAACCACTAGAAACAATAGGCAGTCCGTTTCGTCATTTGCTGTCACTGGTTGCGATCAGGCTCTCTTTTGGTGCTTAGACGATGACGCTGTCTTGTCTCCTGTGCGTCAGTGGTGCGCCTTTGGACAGATTCAGGCCTGAGGGAGTGGTCACATCGATTTCATCACTTGTGAGAGCGATGGCCTCCAACCTACTAGCAATGGCCTCCACTTGTGAGAGCCAAGCTAGGCTTCCCCAAAGAAGTGACAAAGCGAGTACCGCAAGCAAGCTATGCTTACTAGCATGCTTTCTATGCTGTCTGTAGAGATTGAAGGATTGTTTTGCGAACTTCAGGTGTGTAGACACAATCTTGCATTTGCTTCTTCAGCCTTTTCATGCTTTACATAAACTTTTCACTTCGCACATATGGTGCTTCCTTTGCTTTTGCATTGAGGCAATGTCTCGATGCTTTCTCTCTAAGTTGGAGATTGCGGGTGCGCTACAACAGTGCCACGTGGCAAGAAACATGGACATGGGGCGGAAGTCCAGGAAGCCAAATGCACCTCCTTCAACCAAACGGCTTTCGGTCTTGGATGTCCCGGCTCTTTCTTGCTATGAAAAGAATGCATGTGGTCCTGACAGGAAGGCTACTCATGGCTTTCTAGGTCTTGGTCAAGTATCGGAGGGCATCGCTACTAGGGGGAAGGACGCTACTAGTGGCTCCTGGCCTTACTACTAGGAGCTAGAAGCTACTAGCAGCAAGAAGCTACTGGGAGCAAAGGGCATCGCTACTTGGACCCCTCCAGGGGTTCTCCTTTTGTATTCTTTTTCCGTCCAAGGCATCTTGGATGATCGGGTCCATGGCAACACCATCAATGCAGGCGTGCGGTGACCAATGCAGACTCCACCCTGCAAAAAAAGACTAAAACTCGGAAGCAGAAAGAGCGACAACTACCAGAGTCTGTTTGCTTCCCAGGGGGGAACGACGCTATTAGGTTGAACCGGAGGCGACACCTTAACAGGCGACTGGCTTCGCCAGGTCCACAGTGCGGCAATCAAACCCTCACCTGCACTCTGCAGGCGCTGTGGCACAACAGTGGTGGCTAGACTTTTCCTAATCGAGTTCTCATTCTGGATATGCTAGCCTCCAAGATATGTGATAGGAATTCTTGCCTAATGTTATGAATCAGTGCGGGGAGGTATGCGGCTCAGCTGAATTGCTGCCGATTCTCTAGCAAGTTTCTGTTGTTGGCCAGGATGTTCAAGCGGAGAATGGATGCCATTTGACCAAGGACAGGGTGTCATGGATGCTTGTCACGTGCATTTGGTTGCATTTGCTAGGAAATTCGACAGAGAACATTTCTGAACTCTTTTGTTTGACCATCGCTATCAGATTGGAGGCCATCGCTACTAGGTTGGAGGCCATCGCTAGTAGGTTGGAGGCCATCACTACTAGATTGGAGGCCATCGCTAGTAGGTTGCAGGCCATTGCTAGTAGATTGAAGGCCATCGCTAGTGGGTTGGAGGCCATCGCTAATAGGTTGAGGCCATCGCTAGTAGGTTGGAGGCCATCCCTAGTAGGTTGAAGGTCATCGCTAGTGGGTTGGAGGCCATCGCTAATAGGTTGAGGCCATCG